ATTATAAACCAGTAAAGGTCAAGCAGTAGAGACCAGTATAAACCAGTATAAACCAGTATGGACCAGTATAAACCAGTATGGGTGGAAAAATAAGGAAAAAAATGGGAAAAAACCAGTAAAAACCAGTATAAACCAGTATAAAAATCCCCGTTTTTAACCCTTTCACTCCCTCCCAGTAACCCCAAATCCCCTCCCAGTATAAACCAGTAAGGCCCAGTTTGATCCCAGTCCCTCCCAGTTTGCTCCCAGTCCCTCCCAGTTCAAACCAGTCCCTCCCAGTCCCTCCCAGTTTTGTTCCCAGTCCCTCCCAGTCCCTCCCAGTTTGTTCCCAGTCCCTCCCAGTCCCTCCCAGTATAACCCAGTATAAGCCAGTCCCTCCCAGTTTGCTCCCAGTCCCTCCCAGTTTGCTCCCAGTCCCTCCCAGTTTGTTCCCAGTCCCTCCCAGTTTATCCCAGTTTGATCCCAGTCCCTCCCAGTCCCTCCCAGTCCCTCCCAGTTTATCCCAGTTTGCTCCCAGTTTATCCCAGTTTGTTCCCAGTCCCTCCCAGTATAACCCAGTCCAAACCAGTAACCCCCAATCCCCATTTCCCCCATTTTTCCCCATTTTTCCCCATTTTCCCCCCCTCCCAGTTCCTCCCACTCCTCCCAGTTTGATCCCAGTCCATCCCAGTCCCTCCCAGTTTGATCCCAGTCCCTCCCAGTTTGATCCCAGTCCATCCCAGTCCCTCCCAGTTTGTTCCCAGTCCCTCCCAGTTTGATCCCAGTCCCTCCCAGTTTGATCCCAGTCCCTCCCAGTCCCTCCCAGTTTGTTCCCAGTCCCTCCCAGTATAACCCAGTTCAAACCAGTATAACCCAGTCCCTCCCAGTTTGATCCCAGTCCCTCCCAGTCCCTCCCAGTCCCTCCCAGTTTAATCCCAGTCCCTCCCAGTTTCTTCCCAGTCCCTCCCAGTTTGTTCCCAGTCCCCTCCCAGTTTGCTCCCAGTCCCTCCCAGTTTGTTCCCAGTATAACCCAGTCCCTCCCAGTCCCTCCCAGTTTGTTCCCAGTATAACCCAGTCCCTCCCAGTCCCTCCCAGTTTGTTCCCAGTCCCTCCCACTCCCTCCCAGTCTCTCCCAGTATAACCCAGTCCCTCCCAGTTTGTTCCCAGTCCCTCCCAGTTTGCTCCCAGTCCCTCCCAGTTTGTTCCCAGTATAACCCAGTCCCTCCCAGTCCCTCCCAGTTTGATCCCAGTCCCTCCCAGTCCCTCCCAGTCCCTCCCAGTTTAATCCCAGTCCCTCCCAGTTTCTTCCCAGTCCCTCCCAGTTTGTTCCCAGTCCCTCCCAGTTTGCTCCCAGTCCCTCCCAGTTTGTTCCCAGTATAACCCAGTCCCTCCCAGTCCCTCCCAGTTTGTTCCCAGTCCCTCCCAGTCCCTCCCAGTTTGTTCCCAGTCCCTCCCAGTATAACCCAGTTTATCCCAGTCTGTGCCCAGTCCCTCCCAGTTTGATCCCAGTCCCTCCCAGTTTAATCCAGTCCCTCCCAGTTTGATCCCAGTCCCTCCCAGTTTAATCCCAGTCCCTCCCAGTTTAATCCCAGTCCCTCCCAGTTTGATCCCAGTCCCTCCCAGTTTGTTCCCAGTCCCTCCCAGTATAACCCAGTATCCCCCAGTCCCTCCCAGTCCCTCCCAGTTCAAACCAGTCCCTCCCAGTTTGCTCCCAGTTCCTCCCAGTATATCCCAGTCCCTCCCAGTCTGTTCCCAGTCCCTCCCAGTTTTGCTCCCAGTTTGTTCCCAGTCCCTCCCAGTCTGTCCCAGTCCCTCCCAGTTTGTTCCCAGTCCCTCCCAGTCCCTCCCAGTCCCTCCCAGTTTGCTCCCAGTCCCTCCCAGTTTGCTCCCAGTCCCTCCCAGTTTGATCCCAGTCCCTCCCAGTTTGTTCCCAGTCCCGCCCAGCCCCTCCCAGTTTGTTCCCAGTCCCTCCCAGTTCCCTCCCAGTATAACCCAGTCCCTCCCAGTTTGATCCCAGTTTGCTCCCAGTCCCTCCCAGTTTGTTCCCAGTCCCTCCCAGTAACCCCCAAATCCCCTCCCAGTATAACCCAGTTCCCTCCCAGTCCATCCCAGTATAAACCAGTTTAACCCAGTGCCCTTTAGGCCCCTCCCAGTTTGTTCCAGTTCCCCCAGTCCCTCCCAGTTTGCTCCCAGTATAACCCAGTCCCTCCCAGTTTGTTCCCAGTCCCTCCCAGTCCCTCCCAGTTTGATCCCAGTCCCTCCCAGTTTGATCCCAGTCCCTCCCAGTCCCTCCCAGTCCCTCCCAGTGTGTTCCCAGTTTGTTCCCAGTCCCTCCCAGTGTGTTCCCAGTTTGTTCCCAGTCCCTCCCAGTATAACCCAGTAACCCCAAACCCCCATTTTTCCTCATTTTTAATCCCTTTTTTGCCATTTTTTCCCCATTTCCCCCCTTCCCAGTTTGATCCCAGTCCCACCCAGTATAAACCAGTATAACCCAGTAACCCCCAATCCCCATTTTCCCCATATTTCCCCCATTTTCCCCCATTTTTCCCAATTTTTTTCCCCATTTCCCCCCCTCCCAGTCCCTCCCAGTTTGATCCCCGTCCCTCCCAGTACAAACCAGTATAACCCAGTAACCCCAAAGCCCATTTCCCCCATTGTCCCCATTTTCCCCCCATTTTTCCCCTCCCAGTCCCTCCCAGTATAACCCAGTACAACCCAGTAACCCCAAGTCTCATTTTCCCCCATTTCTAACCCATTTTTAACCCTTTCTTCCCCATTTCCCCCCCATATTTCCCCTTTTTCCCCCATTTTTTCCCCATTTCCCCCTCCCAGTCCCTCCCAGTATGAACCAGTACAAACCAGTAACCCCAAACCCCCATTTCCCCCCATTTCTCCCCCATATTTCCCTCATTTTTAACCCTTTCTTCCCCATTTTTCCTCATTTTTCCCCATTTCCCCCCCCCAGTCCCTCCCAGTCCCTCCCAGTTTGTTCCCAGTCCCTCCCAGTATGAACCAGTACAAACCAGTAACCCCCAATCCCCATTTCCCCCATTTTTTCCCCATTTTCCCTCTCCCAGTCCAAACCAGTATAACCCAGTATCCCCAAATCCCCATTTCCCCCATATTTCCCTCATTTTTAACCCTTTCTTCCCCATTTTTCCCCCATTTTCCCCCCATTCCCCCCTCCCAGTCCCTCCCAGTTTGATCCCAGTTCCTCCCAGTATAAACCAGTATAACCCAGTAACCCCAAAACCCCTTTCCCCCATTTTTAACCCTTTCTCCCCCATTTTCCCTCATTTTCCCCCCATTTTTCCCCTCCCAGTCCCTCCCAGTCCCTCCCAGTTTGATCCCAGTCCATCCCAGTTTGTTCCCAGTCCCTCCCAGTTTGCTCCCAGTCCCTCCCAGTCCCTCCCAGTTTGCTCCCAGTCCCTCCCAGTCCCTCCCAGTCCCTCCCAGTATAACCCAGTCTCTCCCAGTTTGATCCCAGTCCCTCCCAGTCCCTCCCAGTTTGTTCCCAGTCCCTCCCAGTCCCTCCCAGTTTGTTCCCAGTCCCTCCCAGTTTGTTCCCAGTCCCTCCCAGTTTGTTCCCAGTCCCTCCCAGTTTGTTCCCAGTATAACCCAGTCCCTCCCAGTACAACCCAGTAACCCCAAACCCCCCTTTCCCCCATTTTTAACCCTTTCTCCCCCATTTTCCCTCATTTTCCCCCCATTTTTCCCCTCCCAGTCCCTCCCAGTCCCTCCCAGTTTGATCCCAGTCCCTCCCAGTTTGTTCCCAGTCCCTCCCAGTTGCTCCCAGTCCCTCCCAGTTTGATCCCAGTCCCTCCCAGTTTGTTCCCAGTCCCTCCCAGTTTGATCCCAGTCCCTCCCAGTTTGCTCCCAGTCCCTCCCAGTTTGCTCCCAGTCCCTCCCAGTCCCTCCCAGTTTATCCCAGTCTGTTCCCAGTCCCTCCCAGTCCCTCCCAGTATAACCCAGTATAACCCAGTCCCTCCCAGTTTGTTCCCAGTCCCTCCCAGTATAACCCAGTTCAAACCAGTATAACCCAGTCCCTCCCCAGTTTGATCCCAGTCCCTCCCATTCCCTCCCAGTATAACCCAGTCCCTCCCAGTATAACCGAGTCCCTCCCAGTTTGTTCCCAGTCCCTCCCAGTATAACCCAGTCCCTCCCAGTCCCTCCCAGTTTGTTCCCAGTCCCTCCCAGTCCCTCCCAGTTTGCTCCCAGTCCCTCCCAGTATAACCCAGTCCCTCTCAGTCCCTCCCAGTTTGATCCCAGTCCCTCCCAGTATAACCCAGTCCCTCTCAGTCCCTCCCAGTTTGATCCCAGTCCCTCCCAGTATAACCCAGTCCCTCCCAGTCCCTCCCAGTCCCTCCCAGTCTGTTCCCAGTCCCTCCCAGTCCCTCCCAGTTTGTTCCCAGTCCCTCCCAGTCCCTCCCAGTCCCTCCCAGTATAAACCAGTATCCCCCAGTCTCACCCAGTGCCTGCAGCTGCTCCTCCCCCCCCCCGGGCCAGGGCGGTGACGGCGCCGATGAGGGGGGAGGGGAGGGGGAGGGGCCCCGGGCCCGAGGCTGCGAAAATGGGGGAAAAAATCCAAATTTGGGTAAATTAAAAATGGAAATTTTGGGGTTTTTAAAGGGGAAAATTGGGGATTTTTTGGGTTTTTTGGGGGGGATTTTTTGGGATTTTTTTTGAATTTTTTTCAGAATTTTTTGGGGATTTTTTTGAAATTTTTTTGTGAATTTTTGGGGACTTTTTTCAAATTTTTTGGGGGGATTTTTTGGAATTTTTTTTTGAATTTTTTGGTGAATTTTTGGGGATTTTTTTGGAATTTTTTTGGGAATTTTTGGGGATTTTTTTTGGAATTTTTTTTGAATTTTTTCAGAATTTTCTTGGGATTTTTTTTATTTTTTTTCGAATTTTTCGGGATTTTTTTTGAAAGTTTTTGGTGAATTTTTAGGGATTTTTTTGGAATTTTTTTGTGAATTTTTTTTGATTTTTTTAAAATATTTTTCAAATTTTTTTGGAATTTTTTTGGAATTTTTGGGGATTTTTTCAAATTTTTGGGGGATTTTGTGGAATTTTTAAAAATTTTTTTTGTGATTTTTTGGGGATTTTTTTTCAGATTTTTTTGGAATTTTTTTTTTATTTTTGGGGAATTTTTCGGGATTTTTTTTGAAATTTTTTGGAATTTTTTTCACATTTTTGGGGGGATTTTTTGGAATTTTTTGTGAATTTTTTTGATTTTTTTTTTGAAATTTTTTCGGAATTTTTGAGGATTTTTTCAAATTTTTGGGGGATTTTTTTGAATTTTTTAAAAATTTTTTGGGTGAGTTTTTGGGGATTTTTTTCAGATTTTTTTGGAATTTTTTTTTTTTTTTTGGAAATTTTTTGTGAATTTTTAGGGATTTTTTTCAAATTTTTGGGGGATTTTTTTGAAATTTTTTTTGGAATTTTTTGGGGATTTTTTTGAAATTTTTTTTTGATTTTTTTTATTTTTTTTGAATTTTTTGGGGGATTTTTTAAAAATTTTTTGGGGATTTTTTTGGATTTTTTTTTGTGAATTTTTGGGGATTTTTATTGCAATTTTTTTTTTATTTTTTCGGAATTTTGGGGGAATTTTTTTGAATTTTTTTGTGAATTTTTTTGATTTTTTTGAAATTTTTTTGGATTTTTTTGGAATTTTTTTGTGAATTTTGGGGGATTTTTTGGAATTTTTAAAAATTTTTTTTGGCGAATTTTTGGGGATTTTTTTTGGAATTTTTTTGGATTTTTTCAGAATTTTTAAGGATTTTTTGGGGATTTTTTTGAAAATTTTTTCTGAATTTTTTTGATTTTTTTCAAATTTTTTTTTGAATTTTTTCGGAATTTTTGGGGATTTTTTCAAAATTTTTTGGGGATTTTTTGGAATTTTCTAAAATTTTTTTTGGTGAATTTTTGGAATTTTTTGAAAATTTTTTTTAATTTTTTTCGGAATTTTTTGGGATTTTTTTGATTTTTTTGAATTTTTTTGTGAATTTCTTTGATTTTTTTTGGAAATTTTTTGCGGATTTTTTTGAATTTTTTTCGGGATTTTTTTGGAAATTTTTGGTGGATTTCTTGAATTTTTTGGAATTTTTAAAAATTTGTCTCCCAAATTTTTAGGGATTTTTTCGAAATTTTTTTTTTTATTTTTTTTAAATTTTTTGCTGAATTTTTGAGGATTTTATTGCAAAGTTTTGGACTTTTTTTTCGGAATTTTTTGGGATTTTTTATTTTTTTGAAAAGTTTTTGGGAATTTTTGGGGATTTTTTGAAAATTTTTTGGTGAATTTTTGGGGATTTTTTTCGGAATTTTTTGGGGATTTTTTTGATTTTTTTAATGGATTTTTTTGGGAATTTTTTTTTTTTATTTTTAAAAAAATTTTTGGTGAATTTTTTTATTTTTTTAGAATTTTTGGGGATTTTTTTGGAATTTTTTGTGAATTTTTTTGATTTTTTTTGAAATTTTTTGGAATTTTCACATTTTTGGGGGGATTTTTTGGAATTTTTCTTTATTTTTTTTGGATTTTTTTGGGAATTGTTTGGGATTTTTTTTGGAATTTTTTTGGAATTTTTTGGGATTTTTTTTCGGAATTTTTTGGGATTTTTAAAAATTTTTTTGGTGAATTTTTGGGGATTTTTCGAATTTTTTGAGGATTTTTTTTACCTTTTTTTGGGATTTTTTTGATGTTTTTTTTGATTTTTGGGAGGAATTTTTTTGGAATTTTGAAAAATTTTTTGGTGAATTTTTGGGGACTTTTTTGGAATTTTGGGGGGATTTTTTGAAATTTTTTTTGAATTTTTTGTGAATTTTTGGGGATTTTTTTGGAATTTTTTTGGAATTTTTTCGGATTTTCTTGGGATTTTTTTGAATTTTTTTTTCGAATTTTTCGGGATTTTTTTTTGAAGTTTTTGGTGAATTTTTGGGGATTTTTTTTGAATTTTTTGTGAATTTTTTTGATTTTTTTTTTTAAATTTTTTTAATTTATTTTGGAATTTTTTGGATTTTTTCAAATTTTTGGGGGATTTTTTGGAATTTTTTAAAATTTTTTTGTGAATTTTTGGGGATTTTTTTCAGATTTTTTTGGAAATTATTTTTTTTTGTGGAGAATTTTTCGGGATTTTTTTTTTTGAATTTTTGGTGAATTTTTGGGGATTTTTTTTCAAATTTTTTGGGGATTTTTTTGAAATTTTTTTGTGATTTTTTTTGATTTTTTTTTGAATTTTTTGGGGGATTTTTAAAAAATTTTTTGGGGATTTTTTTGGAATTTTTTTGTGAATTTTTGGGGATTTTTATTGCAATTTTTTTGGATTTTTTCGGAATTTTTGGGGAATTTTTTTGAAATTTTTTTGTGAATTTTTTGATTTTTTTGAAATTTTTTCGGGATTTTTTTGAAATTTTTTTGTGAATTTTGGGGGATTTTTTTGGAATTTTTAAAAATTCTTTTTGGCGAATTTTTGGGGATTTTTTTTGGAATGTTTTGGGGATTTTTTTGGATTTTTTGGGGAATTTTTCGGGATTTTTTTGGGATTTTTTTGAAATTTTTTGTGATTTTTTTTAATTTTCTTTGGAATTTTTTTGGAATTTTTGGGGATTTTTTTTTGGGATTTTTTTTGGGATTTTTTTGGATTTTTTCAGAATTTTTTGGGATTTTTTTTTAATTTTTTTTTTAATTTTTTTTCTGATGTTTTGGGATTTTTGAGGGATTTTTGGGGGGGATTTTTTTGGGAAATTTTTTGGGAAATTTGAGAAAATTTGGGAAATTTTGAGATTTTGAAGGGAATTTTTTGGGGCATTTTTGGGAAATTTTTGGAATTTTTAAGGGATTTTCCGAGGGGAAAAATTGGGAATTTTTTAGGGAATTTTTGGGGAAAAAATTGGAATTTTGGGGGTTTTTTTTGGGGTTTTTTTAGTGAATTTTTTAATAATTTTTGGGGATTTTTTTGGGGGAAAAATTGGGAATTTTGGGGAATTATTTGGGGAAAAAATTGGGAATTTTGGGGGGAAAATTGGAATTTTTTTGAGAATTTTTGGGGGATTTTTAGGATCTTTTTGGGAATTTTGGGGGATATTTTGGGCAAAATTTTGGGGATTTTTGGGGCATTTTTTGGATATTTTTGGGGCTATTTTGGGCCATTTTTGGGCCATTTTTGGGGCATTTTTTGGACTTTTTTGGGGCCATTTTTGGGCCATTTTTTAGGACATTTTCAGGATATTTTTGGGCCATTTTTGGGTCATTTTTGGGCCATTTTTCAGGATATTTTTAGGACATTTTCAGGACATTTTCAGGTCATTTTTTGGCTAATTTTTGGGACATTTTTGGGACATTTTGGAGAATTTTTTGGACAATTTTTTGGATATTTTTGGGACATTTTTAGAGAAATTTTCAGGATATTTTGAGGACATTTTTAGGACATTTTGGGGCCATTTTTGGGGATATTTTTGGGGCATTTTTGGGGTATTTTGGAGCATTTTTTCGACAATTTTTTGGATATTTTTGGGCCATTTTTCAGGATATTTTGGGGTATTTTTGGGGTATTTTGAGGACATTTTCAGGACATTTTTGGGACATTTTTGGGACTTTTTTGGGACATTTTTTGGGACTTTTTGGGGGAAATTTTCAGGATATTTTGGGGATATTTTTGGGACATTTTCAGAGCATTTTTGGGTCATTTTTGGGGCATTTTTGGATATTTTTGGGACATTTTTGGGGCTTTTTGGGGCATTTTTGGGACATTTTTGGGGTTTTTTGTGAGCATTTTTTGGGATTTTTTGGGACATTTTTGGGCCATTTTTCAGGACATTTTCAGGATCTTTTTGTGACATTTTTGGGGCATTTTTAGGTCATTTTTGGGGCATTTTTTGGCTGATTTTTGGGACATTTTTTGGGATATTTTTGGGGCATTTTTGGGGGGCATTTTGGGGCATTTTTGGGGTATTTTTAGAGCATTTTTTGGACAATTTTTGGGACATTTTTGGGCTATTTTTTTTTTATATTTTTGGGGCTATTTTGGGCCATTTTTCAGGATATTTTTGGCTGATTTTTGGGACATTTTTTGGACTTTTTTGGGGCATTTTTGGGACATTTTGGGGGAAATTTTCAGGATATTTCTTGGATATTTTTGGAGCATTTTTTGGACAATTTTATGGATATTTTTGGGATATTTTTGGGGAATTCTTGGGACATTTTTGGGACATTTTGGGGCAAATTTTCAGGATATTTTTGGCTGATTTTAAGAGCATTTTTAGGATATTTTTGGCTGATTTTTGAGTCATTTTTGGGACATTTTTGGGACAATTTTGGGGTCATTTTTGGGGCATTTTTTTTGATATTTTTGGGGCTATTTTGGGTCATTTTTGGGCCATTTTTGGGTCATTTTTGGGGCCATTTTTGGGTCATTTTTGGGACATTTTTGGGGGAAATTTTCAGGATATTTTTTGGACATTTTCAGAGCATTTTTGGGACATTTTGGGGCAATTTTTGGGACATTTTTGGGCAATTTTTGGGACACTTTTAGAGAAATTTTCAGGGTCTTTTTGGGAAATTTTTGGGGCATTTTTGGGACATTTTTGGGGCATTTTTAGAGAAATTTTCAGGATCTTTTTGTGACATTTTTGGGGCTATTTTGGGCCATTTTAGGCCATTTTTCAGGATATTTTGGGGGTATTTTAAAGACATTTTTGGCTGATTTTTGGGGCAATTTTTGGGCCATTTTTCAGGATATTTTTAGGACATTTTTGGGACAATTTTTGGGTCATTTTTAGGACATTTTTGGGACATTTTTGGGACATTTCTTGGCTGATTTTTGGGATATTTTTAGGGCAATTTTTAGGACATTTCAGAGCATTTTTGGGACATTTTTGGGACATTTTGGGGCAATTTTCAGGATATTTTTGGGCCATTTTTGGGGCATTTTTTGGACTTTTTTGGGGCAATTTTTGGGCCATTTTTCAGGACATTTTCAGGACATTTTCAGGGCATTTTTGGGGCATTTTTGGGGACATTTTTGGGTCATTTTTCAAGATATTTTCAGGATATTTTCGGGATATTTTGGGATATTTTCAGGATATTTTTGGGCCATTTTTGGGCCATTTTTGGGCCATTTTTCAGGACATTTTCAGGATATTTTGGGCCATTTTTGGGCCATTTTTGGGTCATTTTTGGGTCATTTTTGGGCCATTTTTGGGTCATTTTTGGCCCATTTTTCAAGATATTTTCAGGATATTTTTGGGGCATTTTCAGGACATTTTTGGGTCATTTTTGGGTCATTTTTGGGCCATTTTTCAGGATATTTTCAGGATATTTTTGGGGCATTTTCAGGACATTTTTGGGTCATTTTTGGGTCATTTTTGGGCCATTTTTGGGACATTTTTGGGCCATTTTTCAGGATATTTTCAGGATATTTTCAGGACATTTTTGGGACATTTTCAGAGCATTTTTGGGTCATTTTTGGGTCATTTTTGGGGCATTTTTGGGGCCATTTTTTGGACATTTTTGGGACATTTTTGGGGAATTTTTGGGGCATTTTTGAGGACATTTTTGGGTCATTTTTTGGCTAATTTTTGGGACTTTTTTGGGGCATTTTTGGGTCATTTTTGGGCCATTTTTGGGTCATTTTTCAGGATATTTTCAGGACATTTTCAGGACATTTTCAGGATATTTTTGGGGTATTTTGAGGACATTTTTAGGACATTTTTGGGTCATTTTTGGGCCATTTTTGGGCCATTTTTGGGCCATTTTTGGGCCATTTTTCAGGATATTTTTGGGGTATTTTGAGGACATTTTTGGGATATTTTTGGGTCATTTTTGGGTCATTTTTGGGGCCATTTTTGGGTCATTTTTGGCCCATTTTTCAGGATATTTTCAGGATATTTTTTGGCCATTTTTGGGCCATTTTTGGGTCATTTTTGGGTCATTTTCCTCACCCAGGGCGTGCAGGGCGCTCAGCGCCAGCTCCCGCCCCCGCGGCTCCTCCGGGGCCTCCAGAGCTGCCAAAATCCTGGGGAGGACCTGGGGCAGCCAGGGCTGGACCCCCTCACCTGCAATTAACAGTAATTAACAGTAATTAATGGAAATGGGGGGAATTGGGGGAAAATTGGGGAAAAAATTGGGGAAAATTTGGGAAAATTGGGAAAAAATTGGGGAAAAATTGGGGAAAAAATGGGGAAAATTGGGGAAAAATTGGGGAAAAATGGGGGAAGAATTGGGGAAAAAATTGGGGAAAAATTTGGGGGAAAATTTGGGAAAAAAAATGGGGAAAATTTGGAGAAAAATTGGGGAAAAAATTGGGGAAAATTTCTGGAAAATTGGGAAAAATTTGGGGAAAAATTGGGGAAAAATTGGGGAAAAATTGGGGAAAAAATGGGGAAAATTGGGGGAAAAATTGGGGGAAAATTTGGGGAAAATTGGGGAAAAATTGGGGAAAATTTGGGGAAAAATTGGGGAAAAATTGGGAAAAAATTGGGGGAAAATTGGAAAAAAATTGGGGGAAAATTGGGGAAAATTTGGGGAAAAATTGGGGAAAAATTGGGGAAAATTTGGGAAAAAATTGGGGGGAAAATTGGGGAAAATTGGGGAAAAATTGGGGAAAATTTGGGAAAAAATGGGGAAAAATTGGGGAAAATTTGGGGAAAATTGGGGGAAAATTTGGGGAAAATATTGGGGAAAAAATGGGGAAAAATTGGGGAAAAAATGGGGAAAAATTGGGGAAAATTGGGAAAAAATTGGGGAAAATTTGGGGAAAAATTGGGGAGAAAATGGGGAAAATTGGGGAAAAAATTGGGGAAAAATTCGGAAAAAATTGGGGAAAAATTGGGAAAAAATTGGGGGAAAATTGGGGAAAAATTGGGGAAAATTTGGGGAAATTTGGGGAAAAATTGGGGAAAAAATTGGGAAAAATTGGGAAAATTTGGGGAAAAATTGGGGAAAAATTGGGGAAAAATTGGGGAAAAATTTGGGGAAAAATTGGGGAAAAAATGGGGAAAATATGGGAAAAAATTGGGGAAAATTTGGGGAAAAATTGGGGAAAATTTGGGAAAAATTTGGGGAAAAAATGGGGAAAAATGGGGAAAAAAATTGGGGAAAAATTGGGGAAAAATGGGGAAAATTGGGGAACAATTGGGAAAAATATTGGGGAAAATTTGGGAAGAAAATGGGGAAAAATTGGGAAAAAATTGGGGAAAATTTGGGGAAAAATTGGGGAAAAAATTGGGGAAAATTGGGGAAAAAATTGGGAAAAATATTGGGGAAAAATTGGGGAAAAATTGGGGAAAAATTGGGAAAAAATGGGAAAAATTTGGGGAAAATTTGGGGAAAATATTGGGGAAAATTGGGAAAAATATTGGGGAAAATTGGGGTAAAATTGGGAAAAATATTCGGGAAAAATTGGGAAAAAATGGGGAAAAATTTGGGGAAAATTTGGGGAAAAAATTGGGGAAAAATTGGGGAAAATATTGGGGAAAATTTGGGAAAATTTGGGAAAAATATTGGGGAAAAAATGGGGAAAAATTGGGGAAAAAATGGGGAAAAATTGGGGAAAATTGGGAAAAAATTGGGGAAAATTTGGGGAAAAATTGGGGAGAAAATGGGGAAAATTTGGGGAAAAAATTGGGGAAAAATTCGGAAAAAATTGGGGAAAAATTGGGGAAAAATTGGGGAAAATTGGGGAAAAAATTGGGGAAAATTGGGGAAAATTTGGGGAGAAAATGGGGAAAAATTGGGGAAAATTGGGGAAAAAATTGGGAAAAATTCAGAAAATATTTGGGAAAATTTGGGGAAAATTTCGGAAAAAAATTGGGGAAAAATGGGGAAAAAATTGGGGAAAAAATGGGAAAAATTTGGGGAAAAATGGGGGAAAAAATGGGGAAAAATTGGGAAAAAATTGGGAAAAATTTGGGGAAAATTTGGAATAATTTGGGGAAAATTGGGAAAAAAATGGGAAAAATTTGGGAAAACTTGGGGAAAAAATTGGGGAAAAATTGGGGAAAAATTTGGGGAAAAAATTGAGGAAAATTTGGGGAGAAAATGGGGAAAATTGGGGGAAAATTGGGAAAAATTTGGGGAAAAAATGGGAAAAAATTGGGGGAAAATTGGGGAAAAAATTGGGGAAAAATTTAGGAAAATATTGGGGAAAAATTGGGGAAAAATTGGGGAAAAATTTGGGGAAAAATTGGGGAAAAAATGGGGGAAAATTGGGGAAAATTTGGGGGAAAATTGGGGAAATTGGGGAAAAATTGGGAAAAAATGGGAAAAATTTGGGGAAAATTTGGGGAAAATATTGGGGAAAATTGGGGAAAAATTGGGAAAAATTGGGAAAAATCGTCCAAAATTAACCCAAAATTAACAACAATTAAATTAGAATTAGCATAAAATTAATTTTCCATTTTCCCCAAAATTTTTCTCCCAATTTTCCCCCAATTTTCCCCCAATTTTCTACAAAATTCTCCCAATTTTCCCCGAAATTTTTTCCAAAATTTCCCCAAAAATTTCCCCAAATTTTCTCCAAATTTTCTCCAATTTTCCCCACAAATTTCCCCCAATTTTTCCCAAAATTTTCTCCAAATTTTCCCCAAATTTTTTTAAATTTTCTCCAAATTTTCTCCCAATTTTTCCCCCAAATTTTCTCCAAATTTTTCCCGAATTTCCCGCAAATTTTCCCCAAAAATTTCCCCAAATTTTCTCCAAATTTTCCCCAAATTTTCCCCAATTTTTTTTCAAATTTCCCCCCAATTTTCCACAAAATTTTCCCCAAAAATTTCTCCAAAATTTCCCCCCAAAAATTCCCCAAATTTTCTCCAAATTTCCCCCAAACTTCCTCCAATTTGCCCCAAATTTTCCCCAAAATTTTCCCCAATTTTTCCCCAAATTTTCTCAAATATTTTTCCAAATTTTTTTCAAATTTTCTCCAGATTTTCCACAAAATTTTCCCCCCAAATTTTCTCCAAATTTTCCCCAAAAATTTCCCCAAATTTTCTACAAATTTTTCCCATTTTTTCGCCAAATTTTCTCCCAATTTTCCCCCAAATTTTTCCCAAAAATTCCCCCAAATTTCCCCCAATTTTTTCCCAAATTTCCCCCATTTTTTTACCCAGATTTTCTCCCAATTTCCCAAAAAATTTCCCCAAAATTTTTCCCCCAAATTTTCTCCAAATTTTCCAAATTTCCCCCAAATTTTCCCCAAAAATTTCCCCAAATTTTCTCCAAATTTCCCCCCAATTTTCCACAAAATTTTCCCCAAAAATTTCTCCAAAATTTCCCCCAAAATATTCCCCAAATTTTCCCCAAATTTTTTTCAAATTTTCTCCAATTTTCCCCCAAAAATTTCCCCAAATTTTCTACAAATTTTTCCCATTTTTTCCCCAAAATTTCTCCCAATTTTCCCCAAATTTTCCCCCAAAATTTCCCCAAATTTTCTCCAATTTCCCCCAAAAATTTCCCCCAAATTTCCTGCAAATTTTCCCCAATTTTCTCCAAAATTTCCCCAATTTTTCCCCAAATTTTTTTTCAAATTTTCTCCAAATTTCCCCCAAATTTTCCCCCAAAATTTCCGCCAATTTTTTCCAAATTTCCCCCAAATTTTCCCCAAAAATTTCCCCCAAATTTCTCCCAATTTTTCCCCAAATTTTTTTTCAAATTTCCCCCAAAAATTTCCCTCAAATTTTCTCCAAATTTCCCGCCAAATTTTCCTCAAATTTCCCCATTTGTTTTTAAATTTCCCCAAAAATTTTCCCCAAATTTTCCGAAAAATTTCCCCAAATTTCCCCAAAATTTTTCCCCCAAATTTTCTCCAAATTTTCCAAATTTCCCCCAAATTTCCCCCAAAAATTTCCCCAATTTTTCTCCAAATTTTCCCCCAATTTTCCCCCTGAATTTTCCCCATTTTTTCCCCAAAATTCCCCATTTTTTTTTCAATTTCCCCAAATTTTCCCCAAATTTCCCAAAAAATTTCCCCCAAATTTCCCCCAATTTTCCCCAAAATTTTTCCCCCAAATTTTCTCCAAATTTTCCAAATTTCCCCCAAATTTTCCCCAAAAATTTCCCCAATTTTCTCCAAATTTCCCCCAATTTTCCCCCATTTCCCCCTGAATTTTCCCCCATTTTTCCCCCAAAATTCCCCAATTTTTACCCAATTTCCCCAATTTTCCCCATTTTTTCCCCCAAATTTCCCTTTTTTTTTTTCCATTTCCCCAATTTTCTCCCAATTTTCCCCATTTTTCCCCAAAATTCCCCATTTTTTTAATTTCCCCAAATTTCCCCCAAATTTTCTCCAAATTTTCCCCAAAAATTTCCCCAAATTTTCTCCAAATTTTCTCCAATTTCCCCCACAAATTTCCCCCATTTTTTCCCAAAATTTCCCCCAAATTTTCCCCAGTTTTTTTCAAATTTTCCCCAAATTTCCCCCAATTTTTCCCAAAATTTTCTCCAATTTTCCCCCATTTTTTTCCCAATTTTCCCCCATTTTTTACCCAGATTTTCTCCAAATTCTCCCCAAGATTTTTCCAATTTTCCCAAAATTTTTTCCCCAAATTTTCTCCAAATTTTTCCAAATTTCCCCCAAAAATTTCCCCAAATTTTCTCCAATTTCCCCCAAAAATTTCCCCCAAAAATTTCCCCAAATTTTCCCCAATTTTTCCCAAATTTTTTTCCAAATTTTCCCCCATTTTTTACCCAGATTTCCCCCAAATTTTCCCCAAAAATTCCCCCAAATTTTCCCAAAATTTTTCCCCCAATTTTTCTACAAAATTCTCCCAATTTTCCCCGAAATTTTCTCCAAAATTTCTCCCAAATTTTCTCCAAATTTTCTCCAAAAATTTCCCCAAATTTTCTCCAAATTTTCTCCAAATTTTCTCCAATTTCCCCCAAATTTTCCCCCAAAATTTCCCCAATTTTTCCCAAATTTTCCCCGATTATCCCCCAAATTTTCTCCCAATTTTCCCCCCAAAATTTCCCCCAAATTTCTCCCCAAATTTCCCCAAATTTTCTCCAAATTTCCCCAAAATTTCCCCCAAATTTTAAAATTTTTTCCCCCATTTTCCCCATT